CGTATCTTAACTTTACAAACTTTAGCATCGAGAATGTTTACCACATATATTTAAATATCATCTGTTACTTCAATAGACGTGACACATATCTAAGCAATGAAATAGACAAACACAATATACCACTAATCTGCGTCTCTTTGCTTTATCTCATTTTTATCGTTTCTATCTTAATCTCTGATGATGCTGTAATAAAGTGAAACATGCTTTTACGATCTATTTCCTACTTGTTTGTTTTCCTATCATTTTGTCAGGTTCTTATCCATACTCGATCTCTTATGCTTATGTTTTTATCACTTTGATGATTAAATACCCCATGTATGGAGACCAGAGTTGTTTCCCCTTGGATTCAGCTCATTGTAGTTCAGCCCCTTTACAGAAGAGAACTTCGGTTTTTTGAGGACCGGTTAGTACCTTCTTGACAACCAGGGAGTTCACACATGTGGAAGATAGACAACATGTACACAGCCTAACGTGGAGAAAAAAAAAGTAATTTTCATTCACCTAGCTACGGACGCTCAAAGGCCACAAGACTGCCATGTTATTTCGTTGTTCTGTTAAATATTCTCGTTCTTTTGAGCAGTATGAGCATTCATTTATTTGGGACATGTGTAAATCTTTTTAATATGTGCTTGTAAGTTGTATTTTGCCTTATTATATGTTTTGTTTGTTACAGGCGCGTATCTCGTCTTTCTATATTCACATTAAGTCTTAGTGTATAAATGGCTACACTAATGCTATTATTAGTACTCGGTAAACTACTGGAAGGCTAAAGCATTATTCTTCCTAACACTAAATAGCCGGTAAACTATGGCTGGCTGATAAACAATACTAATATCCATATTGTTATAAGAGAAGATCTGAAATGGTAAGTGAAATGTTGTAAGAACCTAGACGCAATACTACCGTGGATGATTTAGCAATCAAAGCACTTTCTATACCTATTCGCCTTATGTAACTCTATATATCAGAAAAAAATCAAAAAAATCTCATCTTTCTCGACGAGAAACAATTTTGGTTACGTTCCTTGGTCTACACCGAAGAGACAAATATTTTAAAATATTATACATAGTAAAATGCGTATAGTTGCGTGTAGGTGTGTAGTCAGAGAAATAGAGATAGAAAGAAAGAGCTAGAGAGAGAGAGAGAGAGAGAGAGAGAGAGAGAGAGAGAAATTTCGAAGGAGCTTAACAACTTCATTTTCATTATTTACACTCACAAATGTTGCTAAAAAATTATCGATAAATATATGTTTTACCATAAGAAAAATGTAATAATATTAAAATGTTCTATTTTAATACCAATACGTTACGTTGTTCTAAAAATAATGTCTAATTTTAGAATAAATATTTTAATTGTGTTCTAACATATCATTATGATATTTGTACAAAAATATATTACTCATTCCTAATAATTAAAGTGTTCGGTTTGTTAAATTTATATCAATTAAAATTTATCATAAGACATTTATATAACTCTCATCTTGAACAGGAGAGAAAAGGAAATGTGTTTATGAGTTCAAGCGTAGTCATAATAATTCTCAAGCTGCTGCCAAATTTAAATGCGAATGAGGTGAAGGATATACTTGACATCGCTCATTATGGCGCTGGTTTCTTGAGTTCCGCAGGGTGTATAAGAAACTCAAGCCGTTAGATGTCCATCTTGAAGATCAAGATAGACATAGATGTCTATCTTCAATTGATAATCAACATCTGAAAATACTTGATGAACAAAACTCCCGTCAAAGTGTCATAATAATGAGTCAGAAAATGGAAATTAGCACTGCAACAATATTGAACCATTTCAAGGAAACTGCCAAGGTGTGGGAAAAAGATGAATGGGTTTCACGTGAAATTCAAAGTGTTCGATATTTTGCATCTGCATAATTCGAATGATCTATTTATTGATCAAACAGTGACCTGTGAAGAGAAATGGATCCTGTAAGACCATCGTCAACGGTTGGCTCAGTGTCTTGACCAATGTAATGACGAAGCATACAAACGATTACTAAAACCGATATTGCATCAACAGAAGTTTATAGCGACTGTCTGCTGTTCCGATATTGGCCTTATTCATCACACCTTAGTTGAATCTAATTACTCCCAACTTTTAATGCAAGAAACTGGATGAAATGCACATGCGACCCTCACTGGTTAATCGGTGAGGTCCAATATGGCTTCATGAAAATGCTCAATCACATGTTGATAGGATAACTCTTCAAAAGTTCAGTAACATGAGATACGAGACTTTGCCACATGACCCATAATTCCTGTGATCCCTCTCCCACTGACTACCATTTGCAAGCATATTGGCAATTTGTAAACCAAAAACTCATTATGTTGCAAAGAAGATGCAGAAACGACATTCAAAGATTTATTGGTGTCCAATGTTTTAAAGTCTTATCGTAAACGAATAAATGACCTTGTAACTCAATGGCAGAAATAAACAGATGTCCAGGGTTCCTATTTTGACTTGTTTAAACACTGTTTAAATATATTAATTCAGGAATAAATGTTTCTTCTAAAACAGGACTTTATTTCACGAGCAATCTAATAAAAATGTCCTTGAGATAGTAAAGATTCGTTAGCATTTTTATGCCTTCATGCATTTAAGAATCCAACGAGTTCAATAAATATCTACTTTCTCAGAATTATTTTTGGTGCACCAGGTCCCTTCAGGAAATAGGTAAAACTAGTTCTGCACAACCTCCTTTCCTTGGGCAGCTCTTAGTAATCTTTGTCGATTTACCAGAACTCGCATTTCGATCCTACCATCAATTCTTCAGTTAGATGATCCGTTGGTTCTCTGTCCATTCTTCCCTTTTTGTAAGTGTCAGATTTTCTAAGCACTCATTTCTCATTTAGTGTCCCAGTAATCTCAGCAGCTTCTCTCTCTCTCTCTTGTTCTCAGTATAAATGTCATATTCGTTACCCTTTTCTTATAATTCGTCGCTGATTGCACGCCCCGTACTTGTTATTCTCAGCCTCCTTCTGTAGAACCATATTTCTGTTACTTCAAATATTCAGCCTATCTGTGGGAAAATTCTCTAGCATTCGCTGTATTTGAGGTATGGTTTAGTTTATTTTGTTTTACGGCATATCAACGTCAACGGGTTATTCAATGCCGACAAAATAGGCTCGTAATATGTAATAGAATATTCTTTGTAGATCAGATTTCATTGACGTATTGTTGTAAAGAGGGTTTTTGCCGTGAGTCAGGTTTAATGCTCGTATCTATCTTTTCAAAAATGTATTTCTGTTAATTTTCTTTTTCAAAAATGGGGACATACTAAGAGAAACTTTAGTGACATCAACAAACGATATAATCCCAAAGGAGAATGGACGAAGAAAGAAAAAAAAAGAATGGATTTTAGATGAGATTCTCGACATGATACAAAGGAAACAGAAAATTTTTCCATGATACGGAACAGAACAGAGAAAAATACACAACGAAATAAGGACCAAATGCAGGCAGGCTAAAGAATAGTGGCTAAAAGAAAAATGTGCAGATAGATAAAACACATTGAGTAGCGCAGACAAAAATGAAATAAAAGGGAACTAACAATACAGAAGATATACTCGTCAACAGGCTGCATAAAATTCTAAGATGGAGCGCTCATATTAGAGAAAGAAAAAAGAAATCTTTAGCGCTGGAACGAATATATTGGAGAATTATTCCACGACAAAAAAAAGCCAACCGGAAATACATAGAACTAACGATGTGCCTAAAATTCTAAGTATTCTAATTCGAAGTAGAAGCTGCACTGGCTAAACTAAACAGAAACAAGGTGGCAGGGACAGACGGAATTGCAACCGGAATGCTGACACCTTAGATGATTTTGGCAAAAGAGACATGCACAAACAAATAAGACAACTAACAGGACAAAAGACATGCTCATCAACAGGCTGCCTAAAATCAAAGGATGAAACGCTTATATTAGAAAAGGAAAAAAAAACTTCAACACTGCAACGAGTACATTGGAGAACTCTTCCACGACGTAAGGGAACAACCAGCAATGCACAGAACTACTGACGGGCCTGGAATTCTGAAAACTGAAATAAAAGCCAAACTGGCCAAATTGAACAGAAACAAGGCAGCTGGGCCAGACGGAATTGTAACGGAAATGCTGACAGCCTTAGATGATGTTGGCATAGACAATTATTGTAGGATTCGTTATATTCACTTAAATACTTTTGCGAAAGGGGGGAATCCACATATTCTTCTCTCAAGCAATGATTTAGGTAGTAGGCCTTTTATAAGTAAATCCTTATTATCTCCAAAAGTTGGGATATACCGGAAGATCTAAGCAAATTTATTTTCATAGCACTGCATAAAAAAAAACAGGCGCAAATGAATGTGAACTCCACCGAACAATCAGCCTAATGAGCTACATAGCAAAACTCATCATCCATATTCTGATGAATAGAGCACGTAGCAGAATCAAGCCGGAGATAGAACAGTGCGAGATCATTAGAGACACCGGAACAAGGAACGGGATATTCGGGACAGATTCAGATGCTGGCTGATCGCTGGATGAAGATTGTCCAGAATGAGGGACTTTATTATAAAAAATAAATGTTGATGTTACTTCAAAGAATTTTGTTGCTTTTTTCCCGCTTCCTGAGTCAGGACTTTCTGGCAAACTAATACATTAAACAGAATTTATCGGTTATGGGTTAGTGTTTCTGAATAAATAAGCAAACAGGAATATAAAATAAGAAAGATTATTTCTTAGAAAAGTTCGGAAGTCAAGAACAATGACCAAGCTCATCATCATCATCATCATCATCGTCAGTCCCATGGGTGTGGTCGCACAGTAATTGCGTATCTGAGCAACCCAGCCCTCCAAAACTTTCGGTTACGTGCCAATTCTTGATTCTCTGCGAATCATCTTCCAGTCGAATTGAACGTGATGCTGGATACGGTGGTAAAATTCTAGTTGGAAATGGGATCAGAGGAGACCGCATGCGTTTCAGCAATATTCTTCACTGTCTGACACAGGCTTATGGCCACGCCAGTTTGAAACACCGGTTCTCGTACGATCACTGAAGTTAAGAAACATCGAGTCTGGTCAATACCTAAATGGGTGAGCGCTTGGAATACCACCTTCTCGGAATTATAAATCAGAGAGTTAAAATTGCTATAGTATTGCTTATAGTCACTTACACTTAAATATATTTGCGAAATGGAGGAATCCACATATTCTTCTCTCAAGCAATGGGTTAGGTAGTAGGCCTTTTATAAGTAAATCCTTATCTCCAAAATTTTCTAACAATCTAAAACTATTTTCTGGATGTAAATAACATGCGAAAGTTTGATAAGCCATAAAAAATTTAATCAATGAATAAATTCAGTCGACTCCGTGACGTTGTGAGTCTATTTCCTATGGGCACCTCTTCCTTTGTCTAAGCTGATATCTTGTCGGATATTAGTGGAAAATTGTTGGTTTCATGACGTGACTATATCATTTCAACTTTCTATTCTTGACGGTGCATGATGAGTGAAGCCGTTTCTTGTTTGCTGTGTCTCACGCTGTGCCATGTGTGGTGCTGACTAAAAATTATTAAATATAAAATATAAAAAAAAATTCAAAACAAATTTCTCATTATTTTAAAATGAGAAAAACAGAAAAAAAGAGATTAATTCAATAAAACTGCTATTTGACACAACAGCCTCGATATGAACTCGAAGCGATTGCTTCTTCCGGCAGGCGATTTTTGTTCATTTCGGCCTTCAAAGAGTCCTTGGTATTGTAGAATTGTTATTTTTTTTCTCCCTCTAGAGGCCAGAGACCTAGAAGTTATTGGAATTTAGGATCAGCTGCGCATATTCTCAATCAAACCTTGGTTGGGCTGGACGATGTTTGGCTCGTTTTCCACAGCTTGTCAACATTTTGATGGTTATCTAAAGTCAGGAAGTGCTTTATTTGGTTGGTAATAATGGTTTATAATACAAGTCTTAATAATTAATCCATAACTGGGATAAGTTGAGGTGGATTATTACCTTTCCCTATGGTATTTGGTGCAAGATGATATAACGACCACAATGGGAATTGGTACGCGGCTCTGCGATTAACAATTCTGAGCCAGTATCCATTATGCCACCCGCGCAGCCAAACTTACAGCACCTGGTATTCTCAAGCTCTCACCCATCTAGGTAATGACCAGGTTCGACCTAGCTTAACTTCGGGGATCGGACGGGAAACATTGTTTCAACGTGATGTGGCCGTAAGCCTGTGGCAGATGTGAAAAATCTTGCTGAAACACATACGGTCTCCTCTGGCCATTTTGTCAGCATTACGATAAAGGCAGTATAATGACACTGAGGTAATGCTCACGGTCATTTTGGCCATAACGGATGATGTGAACTATGCATTTCTTTGTAGTCTCCTGTAGAACCGCTAGATACTCCTCCGAATGACATTCTAGTCCTGGTCGAAGTTCTCTTCGGATTATTAAAAAATCATAGCGGAATCCTCATGGATGATTCAGCTTCGATCAAGCGCTTCGAACGAATCACATGTTCCTCCCAGGCTTTTTGGAGCATGAGCTGTGATCTCAGCATTTGCAGGAGTAAACACCTTATGTTCTTGAGCCCAGCACGTCTCATAGTAGACTACACCGATTCGCGTAGTCAAGGTTGATGATATCCTTAACCGAGGCCTATAACGACATCGAAATATACAGTTTATTTCTTCTCTCTTGGCCACAGATTACACGTCTCGGTGAGTTAGATATACAACATGTCCCTAACGTTGAAATTGTAGTATCTGGCACCTTTAAGAAATCTGATTCTTTCCAAGTTTATATATATCTCTATCTATGAACACCCTGTTTCTTATCCGATGTCACAGTGGAAGGTACCATGATAAAATCACTCCTTACATCTTTAATCGGAATGCAAATGTTCAACTTTGGCTCATTCTGCGTAATATTAGAACAGATCTGTCTAAAATAATTAACTGTTCACGGTGCGATGGGTAAATTGTCACCATTTTATATTATTAATTCAGCGCATGCGCGTTGTTTGATTTAGTTGACTGAAGAGTATAGCAGGATCAGTTGGAAAATATTTATTTTTAAAAAGAGCACCATGACGCAATTAACTCCGCAAGAAATAGTGTACTTCTTTGCATTCACGGCTCAAGCTTCAATACGATCATTTCAGAGCCTTTAGGTGTCAATCTGAGGACAGTGCAGAGAATTCGGAAAGAGTTGGATGAGTCCAATGGTGATTACGATGGTGTTTGGGGGTGATCACTAGTGATTGGGACCTTATGCCTCCATTCATTTTCCTACGGGTCCTCAGACTCAACACGGATACCTACATCAAGTGCATTGTAATGCTACGCTGGTCGAAGAGGGTGGCTGCTGGAAGACACTGTGCCTGGCAAAAGAACTTTGCACTATGCCACACCAGCAGGGCCACATCAGTCATTAAATGTGGCCACCTAACTCCCCAGACTGCAACCCCCTTGATTATTATATGTGGGGCGCACTTGAGCGAGAGACCGAAAAAATCCCTGCTACACCAAAGATGATATAAAGGCAAGGCTTATGTCAGCATTCACCAATTTAAACAAGGCGATCGTCCAGAATAGTTGCAGATGATTTTGAAGCCGTCTGGGGGCCGTGGCTGAAGCTAATGGCGATTTTATTGAATATATTTACTCTTTAGTATTTTCAGATATTTTTGTGTAATGTTGGTAAATATATCTGCTAAAATGAGACGTCAACATTATTTTGCGTAAGTTAGAGGCAATTTATGTATGGCGCCCTGTATATTGACAAAAAATGTCACTTTTACAAGTTATTATTTATTTCTGCTAACATACCTCAATTTGCATGACTGATAACTATTAGAATAAAGAGAAGCTTGTAGCAAACGATGGTTTTAGTGAAAAGAAAGGGTAGGAAGTTAATTTTCGTTTTCATACTTAATCATATTTTTGTTTGCTTCATTAAATGAGATTCTAATTAAAAATCTGTCTTAGTTTATAAATGGCCTAAAGATTTTCGCATAAGCACGCACAGGGAAACTTTCAATTATATACAGTGATATATGAAGAGCAAAGAATACGTTCAGTCGCTAAAAACATATACTGAAACAAGTCAGGATATATATATATATATATATATATATATATATATATATGTCGCTCGCTCGCTCGACTCTTTCGTCGAATCCGACGTACGAGGGTCAAGCAGATCAGTTTCCAGGAAACCGACAGCCCGACAATGAGAATTGCATGAGAATTGATTATAGTGGTGAAGGTTTCGTGCAGGACCATCCACACTTTTTGAAGGGACGAATACAAAGACCTGGTGCACTACGTGCCACAATGTCCCCAAACGACCCTACGCAAGTTTGGAATTCACAGTTGTCCTTCTCCTAGACCGGTTGCCATCCAAGGCTATAGAACCCAGTATGGCCTTTGTATATATATATATATATATATATATATATATATATATATATATATATAAAAGAAAGAAAAGAAGTCTACCGTTCGTTCTTATTTTTATAATATAATGCCACATATAGTCTGGTGCTTATGTTTTATGTCTAGAGATTCTTGACAAAATACACAAAAGTATCTGAAACGTTATTGGTGCTGATCAGGCATCTCGGCTTCGCTCTGTTTCCCACCATCGTAATATAATTTTCTTTTGCCTTTTCTATGAATATTTCCGCAATAACTATTCTGATAATTCTTTTATCTTTCATACAACTTAACTTCTGGAATTTTAAGCGAAATACAAACTTGGCAGCACTGTTACGTCATTTAACTATTGAAATTGCAAATTGTAATCGTTCATTAGGAATTATTATTCTCCTACACGTCTCGCTTGTGGATCTCTGTTCCAGCTTCTTGCTTTCCTGTCAAGTATTACTTCATAGTTTAAATGCAACCTCAATCATCTCTTCGAAGCCCTGTTCATTTATTGACCTCTCTGTTTCCTTTGCACTTTCAAAATTCTCATATCTTAGTGCTTTAATCGCCTTGCTTGGAGGTGAAATGATTAAATCGGTAAGAAGATGGATAGTATTGAGACTGTTTTATCAAATAAACCATAGGCCGGTTTATTTTTTTCTGATCATGAATTTAATACACACACACACACACATTCACCCACACATAATTTCGGTTGAGCTCTCGGAAAGAAAAATGAATTTGTAAACAGTGACTATTACTGCTGCTGATGCAAGACTCTTCGTTAAGACGAATCGAGTTCTCTAGTCACTGGCATGTTTATCTAAAACTAAATACGTCTAAATTTACCTTTATCCCTGCCGTGTTTAGGAGTAGAGTCTCCGAAAAGTGGATTCATACGTACCTACACAACGTACGAATAAGCGAACGCACACATGCACAGTTATCGCTCCGAAAGTAATGGCTCTTATTATTATTCTGTTCATACATAATGCCAGTTGGAAGTATGGCATCAGACGTTGAACCATCCCGTCTATAACCTATGCATCTAGTTTGCCTTGTTAACGATAGCAGTTCAAGGGCTCTTTGGTTAATTTGAGTCTGATATGAAATTGCACTTAAAGCCGTGAAATGTCACAGATGTCTTCTATGCTAGACAGATAACCACACCTCAGGATAGTTATCGACTGTCAGTGAACGTTTACGAAAACCAATTAATGTATGTGAGCAGAGTTAGGAAGTAGGTAATGCTGGGTTGAAAGGGTCACCTCAACTGGTGCAAATTATTTACGAACCCTTATTTATCGCCAATGGTAAGTTATAATCAACGGCTAACACACACACACACACACACACACACACACACACACACACACACACATATATATATATATATATATATATATATATATATATATTATTGCGATCCATTATGGAGTTACATTTAAGTTAATACGTCCCATTATTTTTTTATTTTTCTCAGGGATATATATATATATATATATATATATATATATATATATATATATATATATATATATAATCCATCAACAACACGAAAAAAATATTTGTAAAATCAAAACAAACCTTGTGTTATTTTTTATGTTTTATCAATTTATCAATATGCTTTATTAAAACTATTATATTTAAAAAAAACTGCCATTTTAATTAATTATGCAAAATCCCTTTTCCTTTAGAATATATCTATAAGATGACATGTAAAAACACTCCAACGAGTGCTCAGGATCGCCTCGTCAGTGATGTTATGACTTGGGTCTTTCAACATCATACTTGTTCACCCAAGAGACCCTACCGAAAACAGTACTATTCCGGCATGATCCTAAAGCAGGCGATATATATATATATATATATATATATATATATATATATATATATATATATATATATATATATATATATATATATATATATATATATATATATATATATATATATATATACGCCAAGCACGCAACAAATGGACTCGTTAAATAAATGCCATTACTGACCAATCGTTAATGACTTACGTCACTTCCTCCTCAGCCAAAGACGATATAAAAAAAGAAAAGACAGCATACTCGTCTTTTCTTTTCTTTTTTCCATCTTAGATTGACTACGCGGAACGATCCACATTCTCAACGAACAATCTGACGTAACAGGTAAGTAATGACAAGAAAAGTTTCCTTTCATATGAAGTGTCTCTTTAACTCCCCTCCCCCTCAAAAAAACAAGCATATCGAACACATTCGTTGGTCATAGGAATTATGATCAGAAACGTTTCTTGCTTTGTTTTCCCACCACCGCCATTTCTTCTTTCTATTCTTTCTTTACTCCTCTTCTCTCCCCTCCCGACTAGGAATGCAAAAATAAAAATAAAAAAAACAGTTAGGAACACAAAGACGCCATTGTTGAAAAAGGTGAAGAAAAAATACATAAAAAATATAATTAAAGGGACCCTCCCCACATTGTCTATGTACATCCCTTTTTCTTTCTTCCCAACTACCCCTCAACGCCTACAAATCTCTGTCGTAGAGCTCCATGGAACAGATCTTTTAATTCATAGCCATTTTGAGGCTTTCTCTGCACCTTCTGATAGAGCCCGGATCGCCTTTCACTTTTTTACTCCCCTGATTCCAAACCGACTTAGAGCACTGGATACTGATCTTCCTGCAAAACCACGGCATCCGACTTCAACCGGGAGACAGGTAGTCCGCCATTTGTTAACTCTGCATCTCTCAACTAATTCCTGGTATTTTTCCAGCCTTTCTTTCAAAGGCTTCTTCCAAATTTTCTTCCC